TTTATGAACAGTTTTGTATCACTGAAAAGCACTGTTAAGCTCATTTGTCAGACTGACTATGTGTTGTCCTTCTATACAGTGAATAGACACACGGGGTAGAGGTGAACAAGCAGTCAGGTGAGTCCCTGAAATAGACTGGGCTAGATTAAAGATGGCTCTAAATTTTTAGTATTCCTCCTGTTGAGAGTTGGGGACTCATGCCCTCCTATGGGTTCTGGGCTGGCCTTAGTGACAGTTAAGGTAATAGTCTTGGGACTTGCCAGGCTAGGTCACAAGAAGCCTTGTAGCTTTTACCTTGGTCTCCTGGAAGGTTTGCTCTTAGAAGCCATAGCCACCAAATAAGAAGTCTGGCCACATGCAAAGGCACTGAGACACATGGAGAGTCAGAGACACTGAGCTGAGCCTAGTCAGTTCAAAGGTGCTGGACATATGAATGAGCCCCTCTCAGACCTTCAGTCCTATCTGTCTACCAGCTGGATACTACCGAATGACGTCCATTGATACCGCATGGAATGGAGGAATCACCCAGCTGATTCCTGCCCAAATTCCTGATCCACAAAATCATAAGTAATAATAACGTGGTGGGTGCTTTAAGCCACCAAGTTGTGGGTGCTTTGCTTTGTGCTACATCAATACCTAATGAAAACACAAACACTGCTGGGCTTTGTGATACAGGTCCAGGGATCAAACCAGCCACCACCAAAGGCTTTTAGCCTGGGTGTAATCACTGGATTTTGGAAGACAAAAATACCTGAGTGGCACAAAAGAGGAAAAGGAAATGTAAATGATAGGCCGTCTCTCCTAGATGATGTTTTCAAATGAAGTTAATATTTCCCTTTGTAGACATCGACTGCATACCAGTGGTGCCAATGTACTAAGCCAGGTCAATGCCAGGAGCATCAATGACCTGTCCTTTGGTGGCAATAGGGAAGCTGCTGCAATGCTTGTGGGGTGAACCTGGTGATGTAACCGATGCTCTATATCGTTCAAGGTGGCAGTCTGGCACAAAGCCATGTGAATTCAAGTGATTAGGTGCAAACTGAAAGAGAGATGACTATGTCCGAGAGCTGTGGGTTAATGTTTTTTGGCTGTTCTTGGAATGGAAAATGATTGTGAATTTTTTTTGGGGGGGGGGAAATACCAGAGCAATCTGCTTTCTTGGCCGTGTGCAATGGAGCAATTTTAAAGCATTGAAGGGCTTTCCATATTTTCTAATCACTCAAGTCCAGAACTGATTAGAGCTCTCAGCATCTCTCAGATTCACACTCCTGGAGCTCTCCATGTCTTTCAGGGAGAGATTTCACCTTGAAACCAGTGCCTGGATTCAGAAGGCACATCCTGCTAGAGCAGGAACAAACAATTTAATTGCAGCTTAGCGCCACAAGGACCAGGTGTTTTGGAAAATCACTGATGGCCCAACTCCGAGACAACCCAGATTCGCTTGTTCTTATCTGACAGAAACAAAACATAACCTTCCCTCCAAACAAAAACAAACCATTTCAAAAATTAAACTCCTCCAAACAAAAGGGAGGAAAATTTAGATTGCTGAGAACTGTGGACAAGGACACACACACACTCTCACACACTCAGTTAATTATGATTAGAACAGCTCTGGAAAAAGCCCCAAGAAACTGAAAACAGTGATTTCTTCTGGGGAGAATTGAGAAACTGGAGAAAACTGGGAGGAAAGATAGAGGAGACATATTTTTTTCACTATAGCATTTGGAATATTTAAAAATTTTTGGAATGTTTAAAAATTTTAAAAATATAACTTTTCAAAATAATGCAGCAGACTTGAAAATCCTGAGAACATGAGGGAAGCTGTCCACTGGGCAGTTGGAAATGCTTATCTTCAGAATGTCTTCACAAGAGAGGTCAGTGCTGACATAAGAGTGAGAAAACAACACACACGGACAGAGCCTAAGGAGGGAAAGGACCATAGGGGACAATAAAATGTATAGTGGTTTCCAAAAACTTTATGAAGATGAGTGAAAGAGCTGTGAATTATTCTTTCAACAAGTAATGGGGAAAAGAAAGTACATTGGAGTCAAGGCTCACTGGAGTAGCAAGGTCCAGGAAAGGATCGCTCCGGGAAAAGGAAACCTCGATTGTGTAAATGGCAGAGAGACAGAAGCAATAAAGAAGAGACTGGGCATACATGAAGGAAGAAAAATGACTAAAGGAATGATGTGAGAACAAGGTTATAGACCAAAGTATTGTTCTTAGAAAGGTGTTTCACCTCTTTTTCTCAAGACAGATGAATGAAGACAGGATATGTGATGTCCTGGACAAATTTTTTCCCCCCAGGTCCTGTCTATATAGACAAATTGATTTTAATATGCTACAAAATTCAAAAAAATAATGCATCAGAATCACTCTAGCTCCATATCTGGTACTTATGATGTGCCAGGCTTTATGTTAAATGTTGTATGTCTATTAATTCTTTTCTTTTTTGATGGCACTGGGATTTGAACTTACATTTGCCAAGCAGCCACTCTACCATTTGAGCCATGCCTGCAATTCTATTCATTGTTTTAGTCTTTACAACAACCCCATGGTGCAGACATCACTATATATTATTCTGATTTTATAGATGAGGAAACAGAGGCACAGACAGGTTAAGTAACTTTTTCAAGGTCACACAGCTAGCAATGCAGATTTGGGATCTGGACTCAGAAAGTCTGGTTCTGGAGTCTTTCCTCTTCATCACTATGTAATACTAGTAGCCTTGTCTGTCACATCCAAAAAAAATTCTATGAAGTCACTTGCTCATAAATGAGCTGAGGCAGATAATCACAAGATTCTCCAGGGCAATGGGGCAGAGAAGATGGCATCTCAAAATAAGAAGGTACAATTTACCTTCTGTAACCTGGATGGCTTTAATAGCATGATTTTGGTCAAGTCGCTTGGTCTTTCTGAGCCTCAGCAGCTACTATAAATCAGGTAGTCTGTTCAGCACTGGGGCAGCTAGTGAAAAAAACAACACCCTACTCTCAAGAAACTTAGTGTATCCTGACAGAAACAGACAACAAACAAATAATCACAAAATTGTAATGTGCTCATTACAATTATAATTAAAGGGTGCACAGAGATGAGAATTGGGAGCTCTGCTTTATACTGGACATTCAAGATGCATCTGGATAGAGTGCTGAAGAATGGGAAAGAGGAGAGAAGGGAAAAATGGAAGGTGGTAGAGGGAAGGAAAAGTGTTTTGTCGTGGGAACAGCCTATGGCAACAGCCTGAGACGATTAAAAGCTGTCTATGTAAAGATGAAAAGGGCCATGTGGCTAAAACAAAGTGATTCCTGTTGAGTCTAGACTTTTAAAGATTACTTGGGCTGCTGTGTGGAAACTATGTTTAGGTAGAGGCAGTGGAAGAAAAGGGAGGCCATCTTGGAAGCTACTTGCAGGAAGTAATAAAGATGGCTGGAAGAATACACTGGCTGAGGGAGAGTGGAAGACATGTTTGAGATCTATGTTTGATGGTATAATAGTTTATGAACAGAGAATAACGTTAGCTATGACATATACTGTGAAGTGCAAATTTACAGGTGTGTCAACTGTAAAGTGCCCAAGAAAGAAAAGTATTATTACAGGTAAAGAAACCAGGTTCTAGAGAGACCCTAACTTGCCCAAAGTCACATGATGGCTTCATGGCAGGAAGGAGGGAAAACAGTTGGCCTGCAATTCCTTCACTTCCTTCTCTGCAGGTTTAGCCTGCTGGAAAGAAAAGAAGGCTGGTGATCAGGTCTAATCCCCTTGATGAAGGGACCCCTGAGTGAATAGTAAAGTGTTTAGGATGTCCCTGGTTAAGGATCATGTCTAGTAAATAGAATCTGGAACTGATGAAGCAGGGTGCTTTGGGGAATATCAACTATGCAACATGTCAAGTCTATAACTCTCTGGGTTATAATGGGGACAAATTCCATACTTGGTGGGAAGTGACCTTGTGATCCTCACCTATTATTCTGGGTAGGAGGTGAATGCTCAATGAGTGAAGGGTAGGACCTGGTGAGCTGCTCTTGGGGCCCAAATTTGTCTTTATATCATACAAGCCTCTTAATCACCTGTACCCTTGAAATTACTTAGCAAAGCCTGATATTGGGTCAGACCATACATGGGACATGACTGACAATCAGATCCTATGTGCTCCTTCAGGTGCACTTGCCTGTTTTTCAGTCCGTATTCTTCCCACCATCCAAATTAGCTCCTGTGTAATATCAGGCTTGCTTATAGATCAGGAGTGAAAGGAGAACAAACTTGGTTATATCTGAACCCCTTGCTTGTGGCAAAACTCTGGCATTTATTTGACATCAGATTGATTTTTCCTTAAAGAATTGGTATTTTTAGAATACTTATGCAAGTGAAGAAATACGATGCATTTGGCTGCACTGTGGCCGAGTACAACTGGAAGGACACAATACTGGATTCTTTGTGATGGTTCTTTTGGCTACCTGAAAGGTGGACAAGGTCTTCAGTGACTGATTCTATCTAAGGGTTCTTCAGATGCTTAAATGCTCACTTCCACCACCCTCCATCTGCCAAAGAATCAGTACAATATCAACTTCTGCTGTGAGCATTTCCCAACTGCTCACAACCCTCCTAAACCAGGGGGCCCTTTTCCTCTCTCGTCCTTTTAAGGTGCACAATTTATCTTCACACACAACTTTGTTTTGAAACTTTGAAAGGACGATAAAGGAAAATGGTTACTCTACCTGTATGTGGGAGGCACAGCTTTCTGTCCTCTGCCTCATAACAAGCTGTGTTTATGCCAGAGGCATCAAAAGACAGAATCAGTACACGGACCTCACATCCCGCTCCCGGTACAAAACCATCCATCAGAAATTGAGCTGTGGCAGTTACAGCAGGCCAAAGGGCCAGGGCTTCCTCTGGCAGACGCTCACTGGGAGGAGGTTGGCGGGCAGGTGTGACCACAGTGTAAACGTTTTAAGAAGAGAAGCATTTGACACCTTTTCTCCCAGACCAAGCCTGGCGTTTACCTTCAGCGAGCGGGTCGAGGGTGTGGATCATGAGTTGGAAGATGCTGTTCCTCATGAGACTGTTGTGCAGGGAGGCAGAGCTTCCGCCTCGCTGGAGGCGCGGCTTAGCCTGAGCAGAGAAACCAAAAATGCTGTCAGTTCTCAGAAAGGGAGGGCAAGCACATCGGAGATAAGACACTCATCCACCCTGATCACTCATCTCTCTCACACGACCATGCAGGCGAACAAAGTACATCTCAAATGCCTGAGGGAAAGGCTTTCTCACATCTTTTCCTACTTAGTGAATTAATTGCTTTCATTGTTTTAAGAGCCCACTAAATGGCAGACCATGTGCTACCCGTTTCACGTCGTTCTTATCCCATTCTCAAAATGAACAACACAAAGTAGATACTGTTAGTGTGGACTTTACGTAGATGAAGAAATGGCCTCAGAGAAGTAACACGAGGTGTCCAAGCAACACAGGCAATGTGAAGGATAGAAGTGTGGATACCAGGACTGCTTTTCTCAAAAACTGCTACTAAAGTAGTTGGCGGTCTCTAAAATTTTTGGATTGTGATCCTATCAGTAAAATCTTTTAGTTTGTACCTTGCACCTATACCAATGTCCATATTCATATCTACAGAAACACATACTAAAATATGAGCACACAGAACATTTCCCAACAAAGTTTAGAATAATGAAACAAAAAGTAAATGACAGAGGTCCTAATAGTTTCTCCTTGCTCCCCAAAGAATCATCATGCACCTCTCCTATGGGGGTGGCAGCTCAGCTCTAGAAAGCACTATGGCCTGTGTTAAGTGGGATCCAGACTAAGCCTCCTATGATGAATCCATGGAACATTCTCCTGGCTTTGCACAAACTCCTACTAGTTGTGAGATTTGAGAGAAGATGAATGAGCTTCTAGAGATGAGGTTACCAACAAACTCTTTTATCTCTAAAAGCAAACAGTCTAAAAAAAATAACATCCCAAACCCTCTGTATTTTGACAGATTTTTATCCTGAATACAAACTCATTTCTTCCTCTTGGTTGATTTTTGTCCTGCTTATCATGGGGAAGATACTTAGAACAAGCTGAGCTTTGTAGACAGATTTAAGGGGAGAGATTATAATATCAGTGAGTTAATTCTTATTGAACTTTGGTCCAAAAACTTAACATGATGTTTTTTTTTCTGGGATCAGGTAAGAATAAAATAATATTTCCCATTAAGTCTTCCAATCTTCAATATGGCAGGATATTTCATCATACTATAAACTTATAAAGGGGCTTCCCAAGAAAAGTTCTATAAGACACTCCATAACTAAACATATTTGAAAAGAACCTTATCTGATACCAACTCATCAAAGCACACACTAGACCACTAAGTGAAGCAATAAAGAAATCTAGTTAAAGCTGGATATTGTGGCAAGCTCCTGCAATCTCAGCTACTTGGGAGATGGAGATAGGAGAGCAACAGTTTGAGGTCACCTGGGGCAAAAAGTTAGCAATACCCTATCTCAACAACAAATCTGGGCATGGTGGCTATAGTCCTGGCAACATGGAAGGTGTAAGTGGGAAGATAGCCATCCAAGGCTGGCCTAGAGGAAAAAATGTCACTATCTGAAAAATAAAACAGAAAGGGTTGGAGGCAAGGCTCAAATGGTAGAGCACTTATCTAGCAAGCACAAGGCCATGAGCTCAAACCCATCATTATAAAAAGATAAAAAACCCAAATGAAAAACAACCCCCAAAAACCAAAAATCTAGTTAACTTGATTAACTTGGAAAGTGTTTCCAAACACTTCTTGTACAGACCTCATCTTATAACATGCTTATTAAAAATCATGCTTCAACATCTGGTGACAAACAGGAAACCTGTAACGAGTGTGCAGGATGAGTAAAATCTCAGCATGAGATACATGGAGAAATCTGACTTTCTTAGTGTGATTTTATTATAATTGATATTCTGCTAAAATCACATTCTCAAATCAATAGGGTTCAGATAAGAATCTAAGGGTATTACTGGTGCCTAAATTTGAACGAGACCATGCGACTCCACAGAAGAGACTGAGGCTTGTGCAGGAATCTGGGAGTGGTTCTGCCATATCCTCTGTGCTCTCAACGAATGTTGTCAGCCTTTGCCCTCAGCATTATAGGAGGAAAGATGCCATTATAAGCAACTTAATCACTACTCCTTCTGGCACTAGGAGCCTATCACATTTGCAAATGCTTTGTGCTATTTAGTTAGAGAGGATTAAATAATTAAGTTTCAAAATATTTTAGTGGCAAGGTTAGAAGACTTAAATAAGGTTGAAATGTAATTTTGATGGCTGGATTTATAAGCTCACAGGGTCATTTCCTTGTGTTGAACAACATGTAATGTGTTGTGTTGACTGGGTAGGAACTGGAAAATGTGTTTGTTGTCAATAATTTTTCTTAACCATGTCTACTAAGGTTGTTATTCTGGGAACTTAGAAGAACTCTGCTTCGGGTATCTTCATTAGAATTGGATTATATCTACAGAAGAACATAATGCATTTTTTCAGACATTCTGTATATACTGAACATTTAAATCTCATGCAGCATTTCTTTTGATAGGACCAAAAGAAATTTTCAATCAAAAAGTACATGCATGTGGATACACAAAGAAAACAGTTATCAAGCATTAGATTCTGTTCTGTTTTTTAATATCAGCTCAACATCCCTTGGAATGTAAATTGGAAATTCCTTACTCTTTCAACTCCCAAAAAAGTTCATACCCAATGAAAGAGAGAATTCAAAATTTTGAAACTTAAGACCAGAGGTAATTTGTCAGTGAATGTCAGAATTCAGTTGTCACTAATTATAGAACACAGTATGCATACACCCCACTGAATCAAACCACCTAAGTATGCCAAGGGAGAGGGTGATCTGTTGATCACACAGTCCCCCTTCCTCCCACCCCTCCCACACTATCCACAGGCACAGGAACAGGCAGACAGAGCCACTCCTTCCTACCGGTAGAGCTGGTTCATCCTTGTCCCTGGCTGTAGATGACTGCATAAGAAGAAAAGGCAAAAACAAAAGACAAATAAACAGTTAATTACATATAGGGTTTACATTTAATAACAAGCATCAGTATAGAGATAGTGCTTCTGGGATGAATTAAGTCAAAACAGGGGGGCCAAGTGTGTATATTTCTAGCCAGTAGATAGTGGTTTATTTAGGCACATTATCCATTTCCTTGAAAGGTCAGAGTTGTGTGGCCAACTCAAACACCCAGTAATAGAGGGCAGAGAAGTGGATCATATCTCAGCCATGCAATGGAATATCATGTAATCATTAAAGAGAAAGAGGTGAATTCATATGTACTGAAATGGAAAAATATGTAAGGTATATTGTTAAGTGCAAAAATTATGTTTCAAACATCATTATCTCACTTCATAAAATAAGTTAATAATACTTTACCCTATGTGAAGAAAAAGTTTCAGCAAGACTTAGTGCTATTAGTGGTTATTGTCAGGAAATAGATTATAAGGATGTGTTACTCTCCACGTTTTGGAGGGAGTCAATATCTATCCTCTACATATGCTGAATAAAATAAAACTTGAAAAAGTTAGACCACTGAATTAAGACCAGGAATGCCACACATAGAATTCAGGTTATCCACCTCTCCTCCTGTCTCTACCATTTCACATTTCCTATACCAAAAATGGAAATCTCTGTCCAGCTGGGAAAGCTTGGTTAGAACATGAGGGCACATGAGGGGCTGTCATCACTGGGAAAGAGCACAACTCAGACAAGAGGACACTGGAATTCTATTGGTATGACCCAACTGAGTGGTTTTGCTTCCCCAACTCAATGTGAACTCCCTTCCTATAGTCAGGACACCATCTGTGACCTCTCCAGTGATGTAGCTGGAGGTGCTTTGTGTTTCCTCAGGGCTAGATCACTGTCCTTGATACTCCACCTCAACTATAGGTGTGTACAGAAAGAACAAACCAGAACTTCCCTCTCTTTGACCTTGCCTTCTGGTCCTCCCTAATTGAATCTGAGCAGATTTGCATCCGTAGGAACAATCATACAGGTGAGGAAGAGGTGATTGGTGCAGAGCTGTTTTAAGACCTTTATGAAATGCAGCCTCTCTTTTTTAGTTCCCACCATATACATCATATAAAAAAACATTATGATGCTCCCACACTCCACATAAAATGTACATTCCTATGTAAAAAATGGAGAGGATTCTTATAACTTTGAATTTCAAATTATTGGCTATGGGCAATTCATTTAATTTATGCTTAAAATCTTGGAATGTGACAAAACTGAGTCACAATTTGTTTTCACATGAAATGTAATTCTTAAGAAGAGTAAATCTGATACTTAATGAGGCTGATACTAAATACTTTATAGATATTTGATTAAATAATCAATAATCTTGATTTTTGTAAAGATGTCTTTTTGGATGTTGGAATCAATACAGTCTATTTTTCTTCTTCGGGTTCTAAAAATTTTTTATAGATCTTTGAAGAACTTGTGTGCTTCAGGCAGACAGAAGGGTTCTGGATTGGTAGTAATTTTTGAGCATGTCCCGTAGGCATCACTAAATTTTCCATAACTTCCTGATTTGGGGCTGTCTCTCAGTGACTGCTCTAAAAACATGAGAAGAAAACGTTTCTTTTGCCCTAATTCCCAAGAACAAATGTGGGGACTGGAGTGGACCAGAAATTATCCTTTGATTTCCCTCTTTGCTCTGAAACGCATGGTATGAACCTGCTTCTCTCTGGTGTGTCCTTTTATTTTCTTTTCTTCCACATCAGACAGCTCAACAAATGACCCCACATTCTGCAGAATAATCCTCAAGGGAAAATTTCCAGAGGAGCAGGTTCAGCCTTTGGACATACATTGAAAATAACTGTCAGAGCACGCCTTTTCAGTTAGCAAATTTACACCTTGTAGCTAAGTGGAAGACAAATAATTATGAACCAGACTGATACCCAGGTGATACCATGGACCATGAAGGAATGGGGTGAGAATGAGAAGAGAAAAGGGTGGGCTTCAGAAGAGCAAAAATATCACCAACTGGGAGCTTGAAGTAAAAATATATATTTAAAGAAATTGAGGAGGGAAAAAAGAATCCCCTGCCTTTTGGTGTGAAAGAAAGACAAAAATATCTACACACTTTCTTTTTTTTTCCCCACAAACTAGACAGATCGTAAAACACAATAAGTGGAAGGAAAGTAACTTGCACATAGATTCTTCAAAGAAAAAAAAAAGCAGTACAGAGAAATATCTGAAAAAATCCTTTGCAGAATTTCCCACTGTTTAATGTCAGCAGAAGTTGATATCATTAGTTTTTTTTCAGGTGTGATTTGCAGACAAGAATATACAACAGGTTAAAGCATATTAAATTAGGTAGATACACAAAGAACAATAGAGTCCATTTAAAATGTCCCTCTACTTTCCTTTTATGTAGCCTGGTTGCAAAATGTGAAATATGATGACAATTGACCATTTTCAGGGGCTCCCCTGTATCCACGGGTAATTCCTGATGCTTACTTCACTTAGGCTTGCTCTAATTGCATACTGAAGAGCCTCATAGTCCCATCAATGTGCTGCTGATTATGTTAGGAATTCAATTTTAATGGGGTTTTAATTACACTGGAAGTAACAAGTAATGGTGACAAGAAATGATACTGATATATGGCCAATGGATTTTGGTTGACCTCAGTGACATGAATTTACTTTGATGGCCATTGGACAGCTGGCAAATTTGTTCTATTGGATGTTACAAAGGACAATTTTTCAAAAGCAGTCTTTCAGGATTAATCTTGGCAGGCTGGTTGTGTGTGTTGTTTTTTAATCTCCTTAATTTTAGTGCTGTCCATTATTATCCTATCCAATTTTAATAACATCCACCATTGTGTGGTTTATTATAATACATCAAAATAGTATCAATTTGGGCTGTAGCATTTGAAAGCCCAGTTCCTGGTGGTCAGCTCAAAGGCTATGTCAGCTATAAGAGAGATTTGTTACATCCGTCTGCAGCACACAATTCTTGAGAATCATTTCAGAGAATTGCCAAACTGCACCCTGGAGGGCCTCAGGCTGGGGCTTTGGTGCAATAAAGCAGGCTCCTTTCTCCATCCATGGCAGCAGGACTTCTTCTAGGCCAGGATGTATATATTACATCTTTTACTTTCAAGGAAGAATTCTGCAATTCAAATCTTTATTCAAATTAACCCAGCCCCCTCCCACTTAAGTGAACACCTGGAAGGATGTCATAAGTAATCTGTTGTCTCTTCTGCTGGAGATCCCAATTCTATATGGGAGTTTTGCTACTTATTTCATAATGGTTTTGAAATTATCCCATTTCCCCCCTAGATAATAAAACATAACACATCTGGAAGCATTTTTAATGATAGAGAGTATTCTCATGAAGGTTTGACATGCTGAGAGACAGTGTATAAAATAAAGGATGGTTTTTCTGGCCAGTAACTTAGCATCCAATACAGATGAAGCATCAGCAATTTGTCAGGGAAATCCAGCAACAACTATTAAGTTCTATCATCACAACCAGTGAAACGTACCTAAATTAATTATGTAGAAGACCAAGAAGCACTATAAAGCTTGTGCGGTTAAATCTAAAAGTATTATTTTGTCATAAATGTGATCCAAAACAAATATGCCAGTGATTAAAATGTTAATCCAGTATTTAACTGGCATTCATTTTAATGTGTTAGAGTTTAGAAAGGTAGGTGAGGGATGACTTGGATGAATGATTTTCATTTAAAAAGTTGACATGGAAGTATAAAATAATGTATTCTTATTGTTTCACTATATTTCTCTGTAATAAACAAAAAACATTCAAACTATCTCTCCTGGTTAAAGATGAATAAACCTCAAAACCTATAAGGAAGTCAAAACAAAAAGTGCAAAAGCCTCCAACTTAGAATCTAAAAGGAAAGAAACCCTATCACCTTTACTTAGATGGAATTCCATCCCCCCTCTTAAAATGTTTTAGTGTATTTTCTACAACATTAAGGAAGGAGAGGTTAAATAAATTCCTAAAGAAAGAAATACTGAGAGATACAAATCCAAGTCACTTTATGCTGGTTACTGGGAAATTGTCTCAGTAACCTTCAGGAAAGTAAGAATCTTAAAGACTTGGGCTGTAAAGTCTTACTCCAAGATGTGGGAGTACCTGCTTCACAATCCTGCTTTACAGAGAGAGATAGGATGGAGAGAAAGGGGAGAAGTGACCTAGATAAGAAGATTCCTCATGGAAGCTCACATTTCAAAAGCAGAGCATTTTGATCATTTATAATTCCCATGATCATGAAATATTTGGAAGAGCAGAAAGATATTTGAAAGTTGCTATACTCCAAAAGTGGAAGAGAAATTGTCTAGAAATAGCTAAGGAACAGTGCTTTGCCTTTTAGATAGTTATACATAAGAAGAAATAAAATAGGATGAAAATGGTGTCACATGGGAGTCAGGGCCAGACAGCTGGGCTCCATTTTCCTGTTTTGGCTTCTTCTTAACTGTGACCTTGAGCAAATCACTTAATGGGGACAATAACAGTAGTTACCTCAGAGGGTTGTTGTGACAGTTAAATAGCATAATAGTGAAGTCCTTAGGCCAATGTTAAGTACCTAACTACTAAATATTAAGCTCTATTATCATTATTATTGCTATTAGGAGCTACAAGGGAAATAATGGAAAATCATATGACAAAAGCAAAGTAGTCTCAGGCGATGAGTTGGATTTAGGGACTGGGTAGTTTCTGTGTGAAGCAGAGTAAGTTCATTGATGAGGATGGTGAGAAGTGATTTCCTAGGACACTATAGGTTGGTCAAATGGACATGTACTAGCTTGTCAGTTGTAGGAGGAGATGACACAACTGATTCTATTTCCTTGTCTTGGCTTCTGACCATGTTCCTGTCCCATGAATTAGCACCTATTCCATGATCAGGATCATTCTGAACAAGTACAGGCAGTGTAATGGGAATCTTTACCATCTAAATCTATCATCATCTATCTATCTATCATCTATCTAT